AGAATTGGGCATTTAAATTGCTCAAAATCTATCATGGTGGGTCTGATAACTCAAAATGTTACAAATGTATTTCTGTAAAACTTTTTGAACCAGATATTTATATTATTTTCCAGAGCATGTACTAAAATATTTCTTATTGTGTGAATACTTTTTTGAGTTATGGCTTGTTATTTATATAAATAATGGTTTCATAAAGAAAGTCACATTTTTTTATGTTATTCAATCAGCTCTAAAATTTTCAAATTTTAATAAATCATTAAAATTTTAGTACAATTTCTAAATAAATGCATCTAATTTGTTTTAACAATACTTTTACTGATATAAGTTTATTACTTTTTCTCTAATTGATTTAAAGGGTCACTTCACGAAAATCCATGAACAAATCGATTTTCAATTTTGATTGAAACTAAATTTCATTCTTTTTCTTTCTAATGCATTTAAATTTTTGCTCTATGAATTAGAAGTATTTTTAATATTTTTTTTAAAAAGTTGTTTACATCTGTCAAACCCAAAAACCGCTGATTGCCACGCCCTCTTAAATCAAAACAAAAGACACATGCTACTTTTCAGCCTTATCAAATGGTTTAAATTGATTAAAAGAATTTATTTGATAAGCAACTCATCCAGGAAAGAAGTGAAGTGAATAGTTGTAGATGTTTGTTTACTTACAGCCTATTTTTTACCTCCTTAAATGCAACGGATTTCTGCTATCATGCGCAAGTGTTTTACATCAAAAACATTAATAAAACGTTTACAAAACGTTTTTTAAACTTGTTAAGTAATAAAATGTTTAAAACGAAAGAGTTTGGAAAGAAATGTACAAAAACCCAAACTTTTATGGATTTAAATGTTGATAAGTCAGACAATTTCAACATAAATAAATCTGCTTTAAAATCTTTAGGTAAGTTTAATAAATCTAGTATGTTTATTTTTAGATTCATTTGAATGTTTCTGTGAAATTCCTGACATTGTACTGTTCTTTTGTGCTTTGAAACAACATTAATTACATAAAATTATTGTAAAAACTAAGGTATTCACATAAATTTTGGTGCCAAATCTAGGGTTTGGCTAGAAAATTGCTAATATGTTGTGACTTTTGTGGTCTTATTCAAACATTTCTTAATACCAGGTTTACTAAAACAGTAGTTGATCAAAAAGATACAAAAATTATATGAAGTGGACACAATAGAATTTTATATGCTATGAGGTCTATTTAAAAAGAAGCAGTTGCAAAAATATTTTGCGGAGTTATGCATTTGATTAACATAGTGGTTTCAACGATTCCATGCATACATTAAATAATGCGAAGAGAAAGTAAACCAAAGTGTCTATGGCTTTAGGCAAACAATATTTTAATGGATCAAATTCAGTGGCTATCAATGGTACCTGGCTAAAAGGAGCCTATATATTTCTAAATGGTGTTGTTACGGCAGTTAGTTTAGACACTGGGAAAGTGGTTGATGCTAAAATATTTGAAATATTCATGTAATTTTAACAGTGATGTACATAGCAATGAGTGTTCGGCAAGTTACATTGAAAATAGTACGGGAATGGAAATTGAGGTGCACTTTTTGTATCTCTCATCCTAACATTACACAATTTAGATTTGACTATATGGGAACTCTAAAGCCCAGTTTTAGAACTAAAGATATGTCAATATTGAACAAATTAGAATGTGTTGATCATGTTGAGAAAATGATGGGGACATGACTTAGGGCCCAAAAAGCTTAAAGACAAAAAAACGTAATGGCTTGATAGACTGAAATAAAAATAAATTGCAAATTTACTATGATCTGTTCAAAACAACTCGGGAAAATTTGTCAGCCATAAGGCAAGCTATATGGACTATAATTTTTTGATAAAAATGTTTCACACGGTTTATGCCCCATGGGATGTGAATAATATGTCCATAGTGAAAGGTTACACATACAAGCATAAACACGACTTACCTAGTAATTAGGAATTGCATAAACGGTATTTAGAGATACTAATTTTCTTTTTGATAAACTCAAAATATTAGTCAAGTTTCAAAAACTGTATGCAATTGGGACCTTCAAAAACTATAGTACATGAAGCTATACTTATATAATCAAGGCTTCATTGCAAATTAAAAGTTTTAGATGTATTAAACATTCAATCCCTGAATATTACAAATGTCGAGCATTGCAAAAAAAGTAGATCATCCGTGTATTAGGTAAGCAGAATAGTCATTTTTTACAATGAATCAAAGAAGCTAGAATTAAAAACAAACAATTAAAATGTAGGCAAGAAGATGGCAGATGACACTAGCAATCAAGATATAGTTCTGAGTATGCATTAGTTAATAGTTAGTTTTTTACTTTAAATCACTATTTCTTGTAAATTTCAACACAAAAGGAACATTTTGAAAAAGACTACTTATTTTACAGCCTTGAAACTTTGCACATATGTTAACACTATACAAATAAATATTTTAATGAGAGATTTTGTCAAAAAATTATTCAAAAAAAAAAATATTTATGGATTAAAATGTACAAGAATTTTCATCGTTTTAAAATTTTGACGTGTTACCCACATATGAATTTTTTTTTTAAAAACTAATTAAAATTTTAAAATGCTCCCATTAAAATAATAAAAACAATACAATGAATACACACAAAATATTCATGACTGTGCAACCAGCCAATTTTTAAAAAATGTTCCTTAAACTTGGTCATTTTTAACATTACGGAGATAGGGAAAATGCTGCGTGAAGAAAGTATTTCAAAAAATATTGCTAAAATTTCACTTATAATTGTGATTTTTTGTATATAAAATTTAGGTAACTTATTTTAAAAATTATTAGTCAAATATTAGTATTTATTGGTAATGAGTCCTAAAAAAGCATTTATACTATTTAAATGTGCTAATTTGTTAAAAAGTACTCTGAACGTGTTCGGATACATGATTTAAATGTGATCTTGTACTGAAAATTTACAAATAATAAACATGCTTCATATATTTTTTTTTCTATTCATTTTTCAATTATTTTTTCGTGCAATCTTGACCAAATGAGTGAGTGTTGATTAACATTGCATTCTAAAGCAAGGTGGCAGTCATTCGCGATAGACCTTGCAACTTTGAACTTTGGTCAAATGATGAGGACGACACTAGAGCTGGAACCCCACTGTCCAAATTTCCACACCACGCAGACTTTGATACTCAAAATATTGAATGTACATCAGTCCCTCTACAAGGCGGTCTTCAGTGGAATCGGTACTCGATAACTTCACTTCACCTCCAGTTCTTACCATGACCACTAGGCTACCGCGGGTACTGTTCGCTGTTAGAGGGATTGATCAGAATCTTTCTTCTCTCGTATATAAAGGGTGTTTTTTTAGAGGTATAGAACTTTAAATTGCAATAAAACAACGATGTATTATTCGATTGACATGAATTGTTTTTTATTCGAAAGATAATCTTGTGGCATTACATTTTAAATATGATTTCTGGCATATGACTGCCACGGCTGGCTCGGATGTAGTCCAATCTGGACGTCCAATTTTCGATGACTTTTTCCAACATTTGTGGCCGTTTGCAATAACACGGCGAATGTTGTCTTTCAAATGGTCAAGCGTTTGTGACTTATCCGCATAGACCAATGACTTTACACAGCCCCACAGAAAATAGTCTAGCAAAATCGATTGTGGCACGAGCTGTGTGACATGTTGCGCCGTCTTGTTGGAACCACAGCTCCTGGACATCATGATTGTTCAATTCAGGAATGAAAAAGTTAGTAATCATGGCTCTATACCGATCACCATTGACTGTAACGTTGTGGCCTTCATCGTTTTTGAAGAAGGATTCCACCAGCCCATAAAGCGCACCAGTCAGTTTTTCTGGATGTAAACGGTGTTTCGACATACACTTGTGGATTAGCTTCACTCCAAATGCGGCAGTTTTGTTTGTTGATGTAGCCATTCAACCAGAAGTGCGCTTCATCGCTAAACAAAATTCTCTTATGAAAATCGGGAACAACGGCAATCTCGTTTTGGGCCCATTCGACGAATCTACGCCTTGCTTGATGATCGTTTTGATGAATTGCCAAACCTAACTGAGAATAAATCACTTGACAGCTGTTAAATCGGTCGCCATCTTGGAAAGTAATGCCAACTTAAACTTATATACTTGAAAAAAAACCACTCTTTATATAATATATATGTATATATTTAAACCTTAATTTCTTCTCATTTTAACAGATTAACATATGTTGGGTGTGTCCAAATTAAAAACTTAAGGAGAAAGTTTTTAAAGTTAGCATATTTTTTCTTAAGTTCTGTTGTAGCATTTCTCTAGAACTTGGCACTTTTGCTTTTCTTAAAACTGTTGTTTTTCATTTTTCTATAATTCTTCAAGAAAAAAGAACACTGCTTTATCCTCTTAATATTTCGTTACACACCATCTTAACATTTTAGCTGAAATTATATTCTTCCTACGTATTGAAATTTGCAACTTGAATTTTGTTTGAATTTTGCCGCTTAAATTTAGTGCTATGAGTTCATTCCTAAAATAGTATGAGAAACATTTTTTTATCACTTTGGGAATACATTTTTTTATTGTAAATTTACCCAGAAACGGCGAATTGTTTTTGAAAAGGCACTTTCTTTTCTGAAGTCCAGAATGGCTTTTATAGCAACACATACTCTTCCTTCAGTTCTTGTTTTTTCTTTTAATACATTGATGAATGTCCAAGGTCCCACTCATAACAAGTAATATAAAAATTTTTTTGATTAATTTCTACTAATGTCAACAAAGAAAAATTTTATTTCTGTTTTTTTTTTCTTAAATAGTTACAATTACTATAAATATGTATATACATGTGACAGACCAAATACAAAGCAATTTTCCTCGCAATTTTTTATTTTACTTCTTATATATGGTGTTGGGCTATTTTTTTGTTTGTTACTGTTTATTCATAAAAGAAATTTAATTATTCTAATAAAACAGCGTATTAAAAAAACCCACATTCTCAGAAATTAGGCCATCCCAGATGGGATTAGATTCCACGACCTTTGGATTAGAAGTTCAACGCGCAATCCATTGCCCTACAGGAACACAACGAATGATTTTCCTTTATATATATGCTGTTGCACTATTATTTTTGTTTGTTACTATTTATTTATTTTTTAATTTAATTAATGAATTAATATTTGAAAAAATGTATTAACATGAAGTGTCATTCACTACAAGTTTAAAAAAAGTATTTGAACTTGAATGGATGAATAGAAAGTATGTTTTATCAACGATTGAAAATTTGAACAAGATTATATATATATATATATATATATATATATATATATATATATATATATATAATCCAATATAAGAATTTTTTAATATATAATCATATACATATACATACACATATATATAAATTTATACACACATATACATATACATATAAACAAAAATATATAAATAATCATATAGTTATAAACCTAAGATAACTAAAAGTAGGAAGTAGGCACACAGTATAAAAACAAATTCCTGGCCTTAGGAACCAGGATTGCAGGTTTAAACAAGTTTTGCGGCGCCAACCTTCACCTGTAATTTGTCATACTATGTACCAAGAGGAAAGGAAAGAGTTCTATACGTAAAATTTAAATATTAAGTCATTAAACAAGAATATATGAACATAAACATAACCTACTAAAACGAATTTGTAACGATGGCCAAGAGTGCATTATCGTGTTCCCGCCAAATAGGAGAGCAGAACCGCATAAAGTTACTTGCGATAAGATATAAGAAACGATTAATTGCGATACGATATACGATAATAATAAATATATATATACTTTTAAAAATCATAAAAATAAAATCATAAAATTAGCGTAAATTATAAAGAAACTCTGAAAAATATATATTAAAGATTTAAAAAAAAAAAAAAACATGTGGCGCCATCTATTTAATAATTGTAGGGATAAATTAGATATTGTCTAAATTTAAAAAAATTACAAAACATAATAACAGTAAATAATTACATTAATACAAATTGTATCATAAAAAATCATTAGAAATATAGTTACAAAGAAAATTAGCAGGGTATCCATGTTCAATACAGTAATTAAAAATTTTTAAGATTTAAAAAATATTAGCTTTATCGCTAACTAATACTTTATTGCGATAAATATAGTTAAAAATAATATTTCTATATATAGATATTGATAAATTAGAATTCCAGTAAGGCACTTTGATGATATTAAAATTAAAGGCATCTCTTTATCATAAATATTAGTATGTAGTTTCAAATCCTTAATATACAGATATACATCTAGGTAATTTGTTTTGATTGGATTATTATTAATTTTAACTAAGTTCAAGTAGGACGGATAAAAATTAATAATAGGATTTAAATTATCATTTTTACCAAAAATAATTAAATCATCAATATATCTAAAAATGTAGTAGTCATTATTAATAACATAACTATATTCATAAAAATGTAAATAAAGATTAGCCAAACTATTACTAGCTGGCCCCATTGTGGGAGTCCTTTCTCTTGTTTATATAAAAGAACCATTAAAACTGATATAATTTTCTTTTAAGACAAAATCTATGAGGAGTTTTAAATTTGTTAAAATTAATATTAAGGTTATACATACTGTGGTTTTCTAAAATTACTTTAATAATATCATATAAATCAATGAATTGAAAAGATCTTCAAAGTCATAACTATGAACTGAATAAATATTTTTATCATTTTAAAAAAATCTATAATCTCTTTACTATTTTTAATTATAGCTTTATTACATTGCTGATTAATAAAGTTTTGTATTATATTATGAAGTAATTTATGTAATATATGTTCTAAAACCATTTGTCACAGTTCTAAATTTAACCGGACTTTTATGGAATTTTGTTAAAAAATATAAGGATACTTAATTTTAGGAATACAATAACCTAATTTTTTTATAAATAGCAATAATACGATTACTAATTTCATTATGTGACAAATCTAATTTTTAATATTATTAAGAAAGTGATCATAAAAGAATATTATAATAAAAATACTTTTACAAATCACAGCATAGTTACCAGGTACTTTATCAATGTAAACTATGATAAAATTCTTTTGTAAATTATAAATTTTCTGTTTGATATCTTTAAAAGTAGTTTCATATTGAGAATGGTAGCTAAAATAAGGTCTTTTTAAAATATGTACTTATACTCTTCAAATGTCTCAATAGGTAGTCCAAATTTAATTGCAGATTTTGTAATAAAATTATCATAGATTTTGTAATTTGAAACATTTAACAAAAATATATATATATATATATATATATATATATAATATAAATATATATATATATATATATATATATATATATATATATATATATATATATATATATATATATATATATATATATATATATATATATATATAAAGAAAAGTGAACTAATAGTAGGAATTGAAAAAAAAATCATTTTGACATAAAGAAAGATTCATTTTTCTCAGGAAATATTTGCGTAACTACTTTCCGGTTTTTCTCGAGTTGAGCACAAGCAGGCGAAACGTACCATCCTGGCTCATTCCGAGTATACCACGGGCACTGTGAAAATTTATACTGTGCAACGGTCTTTCCGAATTATTTCACACGTGTTTTTGTTTTCGAATAATTGAAAAGTTCCACTCGGGCTGGTTTTCTACAAAAAGATGACGTCCTTCTACTGAGCCCCCCTTCTCGCTTGTCTGAAAGGCACTTTGTTGACTACATTTCCCCAACAGAGAAGAAAACTCATTCAATAGGACAGAGTATTATTTGATGTTCAAAGAGAAAGCAAGAAGAGAAACAAGGTTGCGATGTTGGGTTATGGGCAATACCATGTTTTCGAATTTATCAGACGCGATCAAATTTTGATTAATAATTTCATAACCATTTATGTAAATGCAATAGATGTAAATAAAATGTGTGTGTGTGATTCAAGATAAAGCCTAGGTATTCTAAGCTTTATATATACACTGCTGGACAATTGCTAAGGACGGATCACAAATTGCTATGTAGCATAACATTAAGCGAGACAGTAGGATAAAATATAGTTGCCACACTGTTCAGACATTAGAATAAAGAATATTTATTGTTCTGGAAAGTACAAAAGCTGTGAAACATCTGAAAGAAAAAAAAATGTTCATTTGATCTGAGGACGGAGAAATGGAACAATGCATCTAAAAGTCAGCAGGCACCATAAAGAAAGGTATCAGTACGGGAAATGTCCACCGTGGAGTGTGATGCAACATTCCACACGTCGTACCATACTTTGCACAACATTATCCAGCAGCTGTTGAGGCAATTTATCCCATTCCTCTGTGAGTGCACGGATGAGGGTGTTCTTGTTTGTCGGAGGATAGTTTCGACCAGCAACCTGCCTCCCCAAAGCATCCCACACATTTTCAATGGGGTTTAGATCTGGAGAACGCGCTGGCCATACGAGACGTTGAATACCCTCGCTGTCTAGACAATCCTGAACAGTGAGTGTTCGATGACCTGTTGCGTTGTCGTCCATAAAAACAAATTTATCACCGACAGCACCACGGAAAAGACGAACATGAGGAAGTAGAATTTCATCAATGTATCGTTGGCTCGTCATAGTCCCATTCGCAACCACATGTAGGCGCGTGCGGCCATTGATCATGATGCCGGCCCACACCATGATACTGAATGTCGGATATCGGTTCTTTTCCTGGATATTTTCTGACGATAAGCAGTACCACTCGCGCCAGATCAGTTGGCATGTACAATCCGATGACAGACTGAACCTACTCTCATCTGAGAATAGTACGCATGCCCAGTCCTGTTCAGTCCAATTGTGATGCTCACGACACCATTGCAAACGGGCAGTACGGTGCTGTCTGGTCAATGAGACACACACAACAGGTCTGCGTGCGTATAGTCCTCCTCCCCCTCAAACATCTGGGAACAGTTTTCGGAAGATCTGCTTTCCTGAGGCAGCAAGAAACTGATTTGCCACCTGCTGAGCTGTGGTGCGCCTGTTCCTTTTTGCTGATAGGACGATATATCTGTCTTCTGCAGGCGTCGTACTTCTAACACGACCTCCACCGTGCCGTCTACTACACATTCCAGTAGTTTTAAATGACTTCCACAGCCGTGAAACAACGCTGTGAGCGATGTCGAACCCCTGGCAACATCTGTTATTTTTCGCCCTTCTTCGATCTTTCCAATAATTCGGCCACGCATAAAATCATCTATGTGATGTCGGGAAGACATGCCAAAAATTTTAAGTTCGTCTATTAAATCTTTCCTGTAAAACTTTGACTTGAAACAACAACTGTCCACACGCGTCAAAACCTTTAAAGCTCTTATGAACGCTATCACGTGATGAATAGACGTGGAACAAAAAATTTGCATACTCATACTTCTTACTAATATCCCTCACTTATTCTAATTTTCCACATTTTTTTCCTTTTATTTTGGGGTTGCTATGGATGATAGTGTTATCCGTCCTTAGCAATTGTCCAGCAGTGTATATATATAGTTAGTGTGAATTGACTCCAAAGTCTAATGATTTCTGCTTTAGAGAAAGCCAACTTTATAGGTAAATTACTCATTTATTTAAATAGATTTTTTTACATAAGTTTTTAGGAAATTTTGTACGTGAATGGTGCTACTATGATTAGAAAACTAGGTACATTTGGAAATAGGCCTAAAAATGACATTTTTCGATCTATAATCCAGAAATAAAATGGATCTGGAAGAGGTTGTGATACAGCTAGTAAAAATATAGTTTTTTGAATGCTTGGAAAGAGAAGTCTGCTTAACACAGTTAATAGACCTTACGCATGAATCTCTCTGCATATCAATCTGGAACAATAAAACCCGAACTTCTTACACATCAGTTATGTATCTATTTTACTTTTTATTAATCGAGTTGTGGTGAACCAACAGTGCTGATGATCAGTTTCGTTTTGTTTAACGCTTCGCTAGAGTTTGTATTAACGCGCAAGCAACTAAATATAAAACTTACGACTGTACCGGCGTCGAATTTTAAAATAATGACATAGTATATTTTTAGAAAAATTAGAAACAATGTGTGAG